TTGAAGAACGCGTTTGTGGCAGTGCTGCGCAGAATTCTAGCGATGACTCTCGGTTCGACGCGGGGCCCCATTTCCCGCGTGGACATTGGAAGATATGTTCTCTCAGTATGTGCTCGTCCCGGGGAAATCGACGCGAGAGCCTTGCGTTGAAGCCGCCCAAAAGCATGGCGTGCTCACGTGAAGCACGCATTTCGTTAAACCCGGAGAGTTCTGTAAAGAATCCGCGCCTGACGTCGCACTCGTGCTCGTTGGTCCACGCGCGCGCCGCGGCGAGCGTCAGCGCCCCTCCTGCGACCCGGAACCGAACGCATGCCTTTCTGTTTGTTGTCTAATTGCCGGCGCTCTTTGATTGGCCGGCGAGCCCGAGGTGCAATAAATCCAACTCCTGCGTGCTCTCTTCCGCCCCCTTCGGCGTCAGATAAAATGATAAAGTGCCCCTCGAATATAGAGATTGGCGAACCTTTACAATGCGTCTCTTGGAGACGTGACATCGCGATGTCCATGTTTCGCATGCGCAAGACTAATTCGTGAAGTTTTGCCGTGTTGCCCAATCTAATGCCTTCGACATTCCAGGGCGCAGTGAGGCTGCATGTTATAGACCAGCATGGATACATAACCTATTTGCCCAATGTAGATGCCACTGCCGCACTGCCAATGCACCGTCGTGTTTCCTACGTGGTAGAACCGCCGCCGATCCCGCCCGTCTTGCCCTTCCCGATCCCTTTCGCAGCCGCCTGGCCGAGTGCTTCGTTGGCCCTGGCGGTGAGGTGCCCCGCTCCCGGGTTCCTCGCGAGATCGCCCCGCGTTGACCAGACTCCTTCCCAGGCGATGTTGAAGGCATCGTTGACAACTCGTTCTTTCTTCTTCTTTTTTTTGGGGGGGCGGTCTCGAGGGCGCCGCTGTCGGTGTTTGCGCGAACCTCGGCTTTAGGGCACCCCCGGTTCATGAACTGCTTGCGGAGCCCAGGCAAGCGGCTTTCTGGAACACGTTTCTCAATCGTTTGATCTTGACGGGTCCAAATCGCGTTTGTTACATGCTTGATCTGCGCTCTCCCGATGGTGGACGCGAGCTTGTCGCGGCGGTTGACAGAGGCAAATTTCGCAAACAAGATGCTACCGAAATCGCCCTTCGCGAAGATCTCCAGGGGTTATGGTGCTTTCGTCTTTCCAGCTTGCTCTTGAACAAAGCCGACCGCCGACTCCATGGAAGAGAATCCTCACAAGCCTTCGATAACAGCATTACTTTCACGGTCCCGATCTCGGTTTGTGGACAAATCTGTAACTTGACGCTCCAGCTCCAATATCTTAGTTTCCAGTTCGGTTGTGCATGTTGCTCCAGAGCGCGCAGGTGGTATGCTGGAGCGCTGCTCAAACGAATGCAAGCGCGTTGAAAGCGTAGCAATATCATGATGAATTGGAGCCACTGCGCTATGCAAATCGTCTTGTGGAACTCCGTGATGTTTATGGCCCAGATGTCTTGTTGTAGCGGCTGAAGCTGTACTCGAAGCATTTGCTTGACATGCCCAACTGTAGAAGCTTGCTCATCGTGCTGCGTCCTGATAGCCTCGGCCAGAGTATCGCACACTTGTTGTTGACGTGCAGCCACCAAAGGAGCAAGACCGTCGTCGGAAAGCCCGTCCATCTCCTGCAGTGGGCTGGATGCGCAGAGCTTTCTGTTTACGCTCAGGCACTAGCGAATGAATATATTGTTGAAGCGGTCCCCGAAATAACTGCCTGACGGGGGTGCTTGGCGCCCGCGTGTCGCCATTACCCGAAGAAGAAGAAGAAGCCATCAACGTGGTAACGATGTGTAGGTGTAGGGATGAAGTGCGGTGCGGTTCCCGGAGTATGAGTATGCGGTCGCTTGAGCCGCTTGAGCGACACTCCTTAATTTCCCGTGGCTTTTGACAGATCTTTGTTGTTCCTCCGTTGTGTTGCTTCGACCGCCCAAGACGGCCCGAGGAGTCCCCAAAATCGTCCCAGGGGGCTCCAAGATGGCTCCAGAACGGTCCAAGGGGCCCGCAAGTCAGCCCCAAGAGGGCCCCAAGACGGCCCAAGAGGCCTCCGTTTATATTGTTTAACTCCCCTCTCCTCATCCTCCTCTTCCTCTTCCATGTGTTCCCCGAAGGGTTCCCCAACGGATTCGGGGAACACGTGGTCCGATAATTTGGCCAAGCTCCGGCGCAACCTTCAACCGCATAGGTGGTTCTAGACACGCGATAACGGTTGACGGGCTCATCCGCCTCCCCCTGTTGGCTTGCCACATGGGTGCCTGGCGTGCTAGATCATTTCGTTTTCTTTGACAAACGAACTCCACATGGGGCTTCGGCCGATCCCGCCAGGGTCCTGGAAAGGCCCCGAAACCACCTCAACGACCGCAAAACATTCTCCAGGACGGCTCAAGATGGCCTCTAAGATGGCCATGTTGGCCCAAGATGGCTTCCAAGATGGCCTCCAAGTCGCCAAAGATGGTCCAAGATGGCTTCCAGGACGGCCCGAGAGAGTCCAACATGCCTTCAAGTTCGTCCAAGAAGCCTCCAAGACGGCCCAAGATGGCTCCAATATGGCCTAAGACTGGCCAAGAGGCCCCCAAGGGGCCTCCAAGAAGGCTCAGGAAGGCCCGAAAGGACAAACAACATTGACTTCCCTTATATGCTTGGCGGATTTTTGCATTTTCTTATCATCAGTCATCAGCTCTCTGACGGCCCAAGACGGCCCAAGAGGCCCCCAACATCGTCCCAAGAGCGCCCAAGAGGCCTCCAAAATGGCCCCATGACAGCCCAAGAGGCCCCCAAGAGGGCCACAAGATGGCCTGCAAGACTGCCCCAAGACGCCTTCAAGACGACCAATGTGGCCCAAGATGGCCTCCAAGATGCGTCCAAGATGGCACCAAGAGAACCCAAGATCACTCCAATTTGGCCTCCATAACGGTCCAAACAGAAAGAACTGCCTCCAAGACCGCCACGATGGCCCAAATGAGTCCCAGAGTGCCTCAAGAGGCTTCCAAGAGGACTCTTCCCCCCTTCCCCTTGTTACTCACTCTCCTCCTCTTCCCCAGCCTCCTCCACGTGTTCCGAGAAAGCTTTCCAAACCGATTCGGGGAACGCTCGTTCCGAAAGATTGGCAAGGATCTGGCCCAACCTTCGGCCAGCAGGCCCCAAGTTGCCCCCAAAAGCTCACAAGAGCCCCGAAGAGGCCCCGAACACGCCTATTCCTCACTCCCCTCCTCTTCCCCGTCCTCCCCCACGTGTTCCCCAAAGGCTTCCCAGACTGATTCGGGGAACACATGCTCCGATAGCTTGGCAGGGCTCTGGCCTCAACGTTCGGCCACATAGGCGCTTCCGAAAGGGCAGGGGGCGGCGATGACTCGCCTTAGGCGCCTTCGATCCCCCGACCCATGTGGTATTGCCTCAGGTGTGCCCGCCGTGCTTGATTTGGGCGGTCTTTGGTTTTTCTAAGAGAACTCCTCAACATGCTTCCAAAACGGCTAAGGTTGTCTCCAAGATGTCTTCAACATGCCCTCCAAACGGCCAAGATGGCCCAAGATGCCCCCCGGGACAGTACCGAGACCCCTCCAATACTGCCACCATGGAAGCAGGACGACCCAAGATGTCCTCCAGACGGCCCAGGAGGCCCCCAACACGCCCCATGTGGGCGCCCACAGGACTTCCAAGTTCTCACCGTCTCGGGCTGCCGACGCTCCAGGACGCGCCCGTGGGACCCCGAAATCGCCCCTATGACAGCCCAAGACACCCCCAAGAGGCCCGCAAGACGGCCCAAGAGGGCCTCAAGACAACCCAAGAGTCCCCCAAGACGCTCCCAGGACGGCCCCAGAGACCTCCAAGACGGCCCCACAGGGCCCATAGAGGCACCCACGCCTGCCCAGGAAGGGCCCACGGCGGCCTCCGAAGGCCAAGATTCCACCAAGGGGCCCCAAGAAGTCAGAGATCTCCAAGAGGTCCCCAAGGAGGTGCCAAAAATGAGTCTAGGATTGCCTAGACACGACTCAACACCCTGTTGGTTGAGGGCCTCGCTTCCCCTTTGACTGCGGACGAACTCTCTATGTAGGGCTCGTGCTTCCATATCCGCTTGTTGTATGACTGCCGACGACGGGAAGGGAGGGGGGAGCGCGGGCCGCAGCGCGCGCGCGCATCTGTTCCCCGATGCGCCCCGTGGGCCACGAAAGCTCACAGACTCCCCTCCCCATCATCGATCCTCGGGAGGACAGAGGAAGGAAGGCGGGAGCGGAGAGGGGAAGGCCCGAAGTGGTCCCGCGTGGCCGACCCACAAACCCACGGCGGGGCGCCCGCTCAAAATGAATGGAGACCACTCCGAGGGGTAACGCACGAGAGGACCCCCCAGAGGCCCCAGGAGGCCCCAAAGATGCCCCCAAGAGCCCCCCCCCCAGAGGCTCCCAGGAAGCCCCCAAGAGCCCCAAGAGGGCATCAGGAGGCCTCCGCGTCTTCCTCCTCATCCTTCTCCTCCCTGTCCTTCTCCTTTCCATTCCTCTCCCCCGTGTTCCCCCAAAGGGTTCCACGACGGCTGGCAGGCAGGCAGGCAGGAGCCGCGCCCTGACGGCGCATCGGCAGAAAATAGCATGCAGAAGACATACCTGAAACATATGCAAGAAGATCTGCGTGCAAACGCAATGCCTCGGTGGACAAGCGCCGGACCCTTCGTTCCGGAGCGTCGCGAGGGAGAGCCGCATCTGCACTCGAGGAAGGGGGAGGGGGGGAGCAGGGAGGGAGGGAGGGGACGAGGGGACGAGGGGAGAAACTATCGATCGTATTCTTCTATAGCCCTGCGCCACTCACGTGGGGCTCCCTGCAACAGGGATTGCAATCGATCTGGGTCACTTCCCCTAGCTTCAATGACGGCTGGGGAAACACATGGGCTGGGGAAACGGCTGGGGAAACACATAATTCAACAGCTTGGCCTGACTTCGGCCCAACGTTTGGCCGCATGGGCGTTTCCGGAAGGCAGGGGGCGGCGGTAATTCGCCGTTGGCGTCTTCGATACTCTGTGTCGATGCCCTTCTTGTCCTTGAGGTAGTCGATGTACTTCGCCCGGTTGATGAACGGACCTCCCTCCTCGACGCTCACCTCGATTCCAGACAATATCAGACTCGGTGCCGCCGCAAAGGCCAGCTGCATACCGACATCGTCAAAGGCAAAGCAGCGAGGACCCATTGAGCGTGGCTGGATCAGATTATTCCGGGCATTGTCGTTGACAGCGATGGTCTGGAACGTGAACGGCGTCAGGAAACGGCGGAGAGGGTGGTCGGCAGAGAGCTGCTCCCGGACGGCGGTCACCACAATGTTGGCGGTCTGCAAGTGAATCCCGTAAAGGTGGTCCACAAGTGTCACCAGCACCGAGAGCGAGGAGCGGAACCTAAACTTGGCTCGATCCCACTGCGCCCCATCGCTCGGGGTCGACGTCACAAGGTTGACAGTGCCGTCGGTGAGGAGAGGCCCCAACCCAGCGTCGACTATCTTGACCGCGTTCCAACCCATATCGAAGTACGCATCGCCGCCGTACCTCTCGAAGCCACTGCGAACAGGCAAGTTCGACAGGGCGTTACTTCGAACGACAAAGTACCGCTCTCCGTTCTCTGTTGTGGTCTCGACACGGTGGGCGCCCAAACCGAATAAGCAGAATCGCGTGAGGGCGACGTCGCTCAACTTATCCTCCCAGACCTGATAGATCTCAGGGTAGACGCTGCACATTTGGTTCATGGCAAATTCCACCGGATCCTCATCCGGGCCAAAAGTCTCAAACCTGTCAGTCTGGGGAATGTAGGACAAAGTCTCCTCAAGACGTTGGGTAATCCGGTTTGGCAGAATCGGGTCGCCGAGGAACTCCTCTTCAAAACCAACGGGGACCTGGGGTTGCACGGTCGAATCATCACTGCGCGTCGTCCCTTTACGGTTGGCGGAAGAGCCACGAAGCCACGATTACGACGAGTTGGGCCATGGCATACATGACGACGATGATGAATATTCTGACGATAAGGTCATGTCCTCTTTCATCTCAGATCCTAGAGGAACCATTGCTCGATTACCACCTCGGCCGCCTCATGCACGTGTACAAGCCCCATTATGGTGCTAGGCTCTGGAGGAAATATGCCCCAACAAATGTAGAACAATGCATTGCTTCAATGCTTCTTCCAGCGGCCCGTCACATTCCTACGAACCCCTTCGGATTACAGGATGAATCCGTGTAGTTCAGAGATGTCCAGGAACACCTAAGGATTCCTGAGATTCGTAAAGATCTCAAGGGCACAAACAAACCGTATGTGACGGCTCTCGACCCTCAACTTGTCATCACTTCTCGGGCCCCCCGGTGTCCACCACGCAGGCGACGGCGGCCAGGGGAGCGCCGCCGAAACCACCTGTCACAACCAACCCACCAGCGAACCCAACCGGCCTAACCCGCCTATGCCCCCGACCCCTGCCGTTCGGAGGGAAACCATTCCGTTGTTCCCATCGTATGTGAGGACCACAGACCCCGCCGCGACCACGATGGTCGTGGCAGGCGACGAGCGGGCGAGGTCCTCCGACGAAGCTGGCGCGCGAGCGACGTGGGCCTTTTGACCTCTTATCCGTGAGGCCCTCGAGGATTGGAGGTCGGGGCCGACGTCGAGAGCCCTCGCGGAGTAGAGGTCGGGGCCCTCACGGATCAGAGGGCCCTTACCTTTGCTGAGAGGGCCCTCGCGGTGAGGGCCCTCGCAACAGGAGGTGAGGGGCGAGCGAGCGAGGCGCAGGGGTGCAGGCTCATGCGGCGGAGCGCGTGTGCCAGTGTCCATTTGGACAAGGCGCGTAGGGCCGTAGCTTCTCAAGCCCTGCTGATCTCTGACTCGCACGAGACCTTCATGGGTGCAAGCCTGAAGCTGACGTCGGAATGCTGAGGTGGTGTCGGGAGTTGGCGCTCTGCGGCTGGTTGCTGGCAAGAGGTCGAACTGGTTGGGTCGAATATAACTAGGAGTCGAAGCGCAGGCGTGTGAAACTGGCGGTCGGTAGCTGGGAGAAGAGAAGAATGTGGAATGCTGGAAGCTGGATGTCGGACTGCTGACGTGGCAGTGGGGGGTGGAGGTCAAGGGGCCGACTGGTGGGGTCGAGTATCAGCGGATTGCGCCTGAGAGTTGACGTCTGTAAGTGAGGGTCATTGGTTGGTGGTCGAAGTGGAAGGTCCACTGCTGAAGCTGGAGGTCGATGCTTGAGCTGGTGGTGGAAGGTGGAAGTCCGAAGCTGCATGCTTGATGCAGCAGAGGTGGGGGTGGGGTGGGGGGCGCAGGTGAAGGATCGGGGGGCTATGGCACCCTCGCGGCGAGGAAACATCTCGACGGGCGGTTCTGGCAAGATGAGAAGCTGCTCCCCGGGCAAGAACCCCGACCCAAACCTCTGGGGAACCACGCGCCGAAGAAACCGGGCCCGCGACGTTTGCTGGACACCTCACCGATAACCTGGGCACCTCACCGATCCTGGCCAGGCCCATCGTCGAGCCCAGGATCGCTGTGCAACGCGCGACCAGATGCGCGGCACGAACGCAAGATGACGACAGGCCCTTACACGCCTGAGCTGAGGCCGAGGCCGCACGCGAGAGCCGAGAAGGCCGCGCCTGGCCCCTCGGGCCGACGGGTCGACCGCGCCCGCGAGAGGGCGAACCGAAACGCGCAGAGCGAGCTCGCGCGAGAGCAAGCCCAGAGGCCGTGCGCCAGCAGAGGAGGCGCGCGGGCCAGCCCGCGGCGAAAGAAAGGTCCTGCTCTCGGCCCTGACCTCGGGGGGGGGGCGGGCCGAAAGGCCATGCACGAGCCGAGCTGTGCGCCCTCGCTTGGCCAGGGCGGCACGCCCACCGATTCCATGGAACAAGATCAGCCCCGCCAGGATCGGTGAGGTGGTCACCTGACGTCCCGCGCGAGAACGCTGGCGGGGACGACGCCGCGCGGTAGGTCGGGCCCTGCCCTCTCCTCCGTGGAGACGGGTCCCTCGGCGGACGGGAGCGAGGCCCGACCTGAGCCCAGCGGGATGCCGGAACCGCCGATGGTAGCCGCAGCGCGCAGGCCCGAACCCGCCAGGTTCCCAGAATCGGCCACACGCAAGAGTGACCCTAGGCAAGAGTGACCTCTGGCGCGCGGCTGAAGGGAGAGGGGGGGCGCGGGGGGGCCAAGCCGAAGCGTGCAAACTGCTGCTATCGCACCGCAGTCAACGATCGGGGACACCAGTGGGCCCGCACCAAAGGTCACTCCAGCGAGGGGTCACTCTGGCGAGGGGTCACTCTTACGTACAAGCGACAGAAACGTCACAGCCGCGGCGCCCGCGCTGGCAATGGACGATACGACGCTGCCAGCCGCAATCAGCACGCTCAAAGCGAGGATCCATCGGGGCGCTGCACACCGCGCAGATCTGACGAAGGACCAGGCGAGTCTACACCGCCGGGCTGACCGCGGAGATCCACGGAGGGTCCACTGCCGCGCGTCGCGGTCCTGCAGGGGGTGGCGCCAACAGCGTGGCGCTGTGAGGCCTCTGGGCAAACTGGAGGGGTTTCGCAGCAGGGGTGCCCAGTTCACCATCGAGCGCTCCCTCGTCGCCCGCGGAGATGACGTCGCTCTGGCGCTGGTGAGGATCCCGCGCGTGGCGACTCAGCTCGCCCACGGCCAGGGGGGAGCTGCGCGCGAGGGCGGCGCAGGCAGCCGACGCCATTAAGCCGCAGCGGGTCGCGACCGACGCGGCCTGTCGGCGAGAGCTGCTCCAGGAGCACGGGGCGGCAACGACGCGACGGCGAGAAGGGCCGCCCGCAGGCGCAAGGCCAAAGGCCCTGCTTCTGCGCGGGCCTCCTGCGCGGAACGCCAGGTCGAAGCCGGCTGCAGGACCGAGGCCGAGCACCTAGCGCCTGTCGGTGGTGGTGGTGCCGCCGAGGCTGCTGGAGATGCGGGAACTGTCAACGCCCATGACGCTGGCGCGGCTGGCGGCGCTTCGCGCTTCCCGCTGCTGCCGGACAGCCATGCGACGCCGTCGCTTGAACTGCCGGTGCGCAGGGACTTGCGCACGGCCCACGAGGTCGGCCACCTCCCGTCGCAGTCTTCGTAGTTCGGCTTCGCGCGGCGGGGGCAGGGGCGAGGGCGCGCCCCTGCCCGAGCGGGCCAGCGGCGGTGGCCGACGGGTTGCCGCGAGCCGCCCGCCGAAGGACTCGGGGCAGCCGCTCGCTCCAACGGCCGCGGCGCGGGCGCTTCTGGAGTTGGCTGCCCGCCCTTCCAAGGGGCAGCGCTCTTCGGCCGCGGCCGCGGGTCGAGGAGCCCCGAAGTGCCCCTGCGTGGTCGCCCAGTCCGCGCGCGCTTTCGGCGTGGGCTGCTGCTCGGAAGGCCCCGGCGACCATTGCTCTCCCAGTAGGGCAAGGAGGCGAGGATGATGATGCTGATCGATGGTGGTGCTCTGGCGTAGGCGTTGAGGGAGAATGCGCGCCCTTGTCGGGGGCGCCGGGGGCAGTCGCGCACGGGGTGCTCCTCGGAGTCGCACTCGTGGAATGTGAATCGCGCCCCGTCAAGGCCCGGGGGTTTGTCCGAACCCGCGCTCGCGGTGCTGAGCCCCCTTTCCCGTTGCCCTTGCCCACCCCGAAGCGCGCGAAGGTTTCCCGGAGGTCGCTCTTGGACAGGGTGGCAATGAAAGCGCGATAGCTTCCGCCCTTGCCCACGCCCCTCCGTTCGATGGCCCTCCGAGCGTGGCGCGGGGCATGCGGCCGTTGAAACTGCGCGGGCGCGCTTGGGCGCGCCCGCGAGCCTGGCCGGGGGCGGTGCGCGCCGCGCTGTTCCGCGGGACTGTCGCGTAGCTCGGGGTCGTCGGCTGCTCTCTTCGCCGCGCGAGCTGGCTTTCCCGGCGTCGGTGTCCGAGTCGATCTCCGCTGCCTCGCATGCCCCGTGCGCCGGCGGTGCCGCGCTAGAGGCGCAGCCTCCAGACGCGGGCTCGGCTGGCAAGGGGGGGCTCGGTGCCGACCCCGGCGCAGCAGGGCGCATGCCGCCCCAGCGACGCACCTGCTCGGGCGCGCCCGCAAGGATCGCGCGCCGTTGGGCAGCGCGGGCCGCCGAGGCAGGGTTTCCTGGCGATCCCGCTAGCAAGCGCCCAGAGCGTTTCAGCTGGCCCGTCGCGCGGGCGAGCTGCTGAGCGTTCGCGGCGCAGGCCGCGTCGCAGAGCTGCGGGGGCATCGCAAGTTGAATGCTCGACGCGCCAACGGCGCGCAGCAGGAGGAGGCTGCGCCTCTCGTAGCCGATCGCGAGATGCCCGGCTTGCTGCGCCCCGTTGCGGGGGGCGCCGGACCTCGCCGGGGGGTCGTCGATGCGCCTCCGTGGCAGTCGGTCGAAGTTCTTCGGCGCGCGCGCTGCCGAAGCGCGCCCCTCCTCGCCCAGCTGGCCCCGCCGTTCGGCCAAATTGTGCATTTGGAAGGTCATCGGTGGCGCTGCGTCGCCGTTAATGAATCCTTCCTGGATCAGGACAGCCGGCGGCCGCTCGCCCGCGCGCCGTGCCTGCTGGGCGCGACGAGGCGTAGGCTGCCATGCGAAACTCGTTGAGGTCGGAGTTCGCCACTGACCAAATCATTACATCACGCGCCCATTTCTGGAAAGGAGCGCGAGAATGGTTTTCGGGCCCCCGGGTGCGGGGGCGATGCGCTTGGCCGCCGCCGCCGCCTGCGCCCTTGCAGGCGATGCAGCTTGTGATGGCACGCATTCCAACTCCGATGGCCTTCCACCCAAGAGCGCGGCCCCCTCTACCAATCGCAGAGGTGCTGGAGGCTGGGGGTACTCGAGCGGCGTTGCAAGAGTCGCCGAGGCCATTTGCCCTGGATGCGTTCCTCCTCGCCAGCGCAATGGGCATCTGCTAATGTCGCGTCGCTGTAGCGCTCACTCGAAGCATCTCGACACGCAATCACGGGAATGCCTTTCGTGCGTCGTGCGGTCACAATACCGAGCACCGCCAATTACAGGAGCGTCTGGAAGACTGCGCATCGGAACCCCGTCCTGCCCGGCTGGGGGTCTGAGTCGGCAAAGCGAAGGGTTAGGCCCCCAGGCGCGGTGCCTCGGAGCGGCGGCGCCTCAGTCGCCATGCCCTTCGCTGCGCCCCCGCCCCGGCACCGGCGACGAAGTCGCCGGATGCCTCTTCTCCGTTCGCTCCCCCCAGGGCTCCCGCAACACAGTCTCGAAAAACTCGGGACTTTGTTCTGTCACCGCACATGTGAGTGTTGTGTCGAACACATTGTCTAACACATGAAGCTAACCTGACCGGTCCATCAAGGCCAAAGTCATCACAATAAGCGTCGCCGCCGCCGCCGTCGTCGCCGTCGTCGTCGTCGCTGTCATCGTCGTCATCGCAGTAGCCCCCGCGGGGCGGGGGCGCGTACTGCTTGGGGTCCGCGAGTTGCCTGGGCGCAGTCCAAGCATGCCCAAGATGGGTCACATAACGGTTCTTGTAGATATTGGCGATGTTGTCCTTGATGACGTTGTGGTTGTGAGCATTCTCGGTCACTGGTCGTGGTGGAGGGGCGGATGCCACGACGGACCATCGAGTAACGTATCCTGCCGCAGTAAGCGGGGAAACATACACGAAAACGATGGTGCTGAAGGCGGACGGGAAGCGGAATGTAGAAACACATTTGGAAATGCACGACGTACTGTTCCTGCGGATGGGCTGGCCCTGCCCTGGTGTGCTTATGAGTGGCGTCTCTAGCAGGCGTCGCGATGTAAAGCGACGGACGGTTGGAGCCATGGCCATCGAGGCGAGGCGTGACATGGCGGTCGTGGTATTGGAGCTAAAGCGAACCTGCTCCGCTACCAACTAGAAGCGAGGATGTACATAGGCATATGAAACAGATGGGATATTTCAGTAAAACGGTGTACAGCGGGTTGTGTAAGAAATACGCTGTCCAACGGGAGCGGTAAAAAGGATCCTTAAAATCCAATGCGGCATCGGCAAGGACAGGATGAAAAGAGGGCAAAGTAAGAGGACATACCGTTCGAGTTTACGGAGCAAAGGGAGCGAAAAGACGAGGAGGAGGAGAAAGAGGATGAGGAGACAAGGGAAGCAAACATAATATTCAGAAGGAACTCTCTCGTGCGCAGGAGGGCCATGGCAAGCGAAAACTAACTAGGACCCCCAAACGAAGGACGACCTAAGCAAGTGGGATTCGACCCTTGAACCGGGACCTGGATGTTGAGCGCGTAGGAAAGTTGATACTTTTCCAATTGCATCTTCGGCGTAATCTTGTCAACAGGCATGAACTGTGGACTTGTGTCTGGCGTTGCGCGCGAAAGCAGCAAGGACTGGTACGCAAAGTAGGTGAGCCTCGGGTATATGTCTGAAATCCAATTAAATGGGGGGCAGCTCCAAGACTTGAAGTACAACACGCCAGCCGCAAGGCAACAACCAAATAACGCGTACACCATTAATGCTGCAACTATGAGTGATGGGCCCATGTTCCACCACCACCACCACCACCACAACCATGGGTGGTAGGACGGAGGGAGCGAAGAGGATGGAGAGGTCCTCCTTCCCCTCCTCGCTCTCCTCCTTTTGCTCCTCCTCATCCTCTTCCTCCTCACCCTCCCTCTCCTTATTCTTGTAGTGGTGGTGGAAAGCTGGCCCATCAATGAGCACGAAGAAGACGGCAAACCCCAACACATAGATGAGAACAGCAAGCGCCGGCACGAAGACAACGTAGATCGGGCAGCACCCGCAGCTTTTCCCACACAAGAAGTACTGGCCCTTCCGAGGCATCGTAGGTTGGATGACGGGCCAACCCGTTGAACGACCCTTCTCGGCGTCCGTCAACGGTTGCAGCTCCGGCCTTTCCATGATTCCTCGGTGTGGTACGACGAAGCCAGAGCGAGGGAAAATCTGGGTGATAATAAATCGAGAATATCTGAGATCGGGCGGCTCTGGAGGATGTTTCGGGCGCTGCGACCTTCTCAGAGCGTTCTGGATCGCTCTGGAAACACTCTGGAACGCTCTGGAACGGATTTATCCTCGTCCTAGCCCCGTCCAGAATGGGCCGATCTGGGAACTCCGCGGGCCGAAATGAAAAATCGCGAGTGCCCCGCTTCTGCGACTGCTGGAGCCCAAATGGCAACTCTGGACAGCACGATATTCCTGATTATGGTGACGATTCGCACCACTCACCCACCCCGACGCCCTAGAGTTCTGGCTTGCAAACCGACACGACAAGTCCCCTGAATGCGGCTTGCGCCGTGTCGGGATGGCGAGCGCCCAAATGGCTGCGTGGAGCACAAGATCGAGGCGGATGGCTGGGAAATGTATAATTATCGCCTCCCTTCCTTCCAACTCATCCTCCTCCCCCCTCCCTCCTCCTCCCTGTTCCCTGCTCCAACTTGGGGGGGAGTTCGCGCTCCTTGCGCTCTGCAGCCGTGGCTGCCCCCCCTTCCCCGAAGACGCAGAAAACTTCGCTCGCCGCCGACCCCCCTTTTTATCGCCTCCCCATTACGCGACGCCTAGGAGAATGCCGGGGGATGGGGTCTAGAGCCAATCCCACCCGGCGGCCGAAGGATGGGGACGACGAGGCCCTCCCCTCGGAGCCAGCTAGGATCGTTGGGCTCTGTGGCAGGGCGCGCCAGTGCCGCAGCCCCCCCCCGCCGGGCAACGCGGAACCGACGCGCCGACGGGCGGGCCGGCTCCATACCTTGCAGGTGGGGTGACGGCTCCGCCGATCACGACTCCCACAGAGGGGGGGACCCGGCTGGGAGGCCGGGGGGGGCCCACGGGAGACCTGCGTGACCACGGGGGCAGGGCAAACGCGAACATGGACGAGGGGCACGTGGCTCTGCTGCGCGGGTGCCGGATCCATGGATCAGACGGGACTCCGGCGCAGCGCCGAGACGGCCCACCGGAGCACCGCGAGAGCTCCCCCAACAAAAACGTGAAGACGAGACGCCGCACATGCGGCGGCCCTCCGAGCGGTGCCCGCAGGGTCGCCGCACAGAGTGCTTCGCTGGCACGGTGGCGGACTTGCCGCAGGCACCAGGACCCGGTGCGCGGGCGCCAGGCCCGCCGGGTCGGGGAGGGCACCCCCGAGGAGTGGCGCCAGAGCCATCCGATTTTTGGTGGCGGAGCGCGCCGACTCTGCCTGGAAGCGGGGCCCGCCGCCGAGCCGCGCGCCCTGAGAACTCGCTGTTGTTCGCGACAGCGGTGGCTACCGGCCCCTGCCCCCTCCTCCCCCCCCGAGTGAACGTCACGATTCGTGCTGGTCTCCGAGTTGGCTCTCGACATTCCCCACACAGGACCTGGCTGTCTTAGGAGCCTGTTGGGCCGTCTTTGGGGCCTCCTCTTGGCCGTCCTGGGGCGGTCTTCGGCCGTCCTGAGTCCCTCTTGGTAGCGTCTTGGGCCATCTATGGGTGGTCCTGAAGGCCTCTTAAGCATACGGGTAAACAATGGGTTCTGCCTCTGGGGATCCTGTTGAGATGCTCGTGGAATTTGTCATACCTCACTGGGCGGATTTTCTTGTGGAAGGCACACTGGGCAAACGAACGAAGTTGTTCAACCCGAACGTGCTTGAGCCACAACTGCAAGGACATGGAAGCATGGGAGGCTGGGATCCTGGGAGTTCACGGTTCGGGGAAGATGGGCACATATGGCACTAGAACTATCGGGCGCGCTTCGCGCGCGCTCACCCTCTACCTGTCTTAGAGTTTCGCGTTTAGCGGGGCAGAGTGGCCGTGCCTTAATGAAAGGGAGCTGCGGTCGCGGCCGAGGGCGCCGATGGGCGCTTGGGGCAGGGCGAGGGGTGCACAGCTTCCTCCTCCTAGTCCTCCTCCTCATTTCTCCTCCTCCTCCTCCTCCTCCTCCTCCTCTCCCGCCTCGTCGTGGACGCGTTGGAGGGAGAGGAAGCTCTGTGCACATTTACACACAAGCTTGTGTGCACCACAAGACTTGTCCATCACAACTTACGAACTGCCTCGACCCTGAACTGCGCCCGTGGATCTTTAAAGGATAAGGGATGTCCGAGGGTCCCGCTCGGAAAGCGAATATTCCTTGTATAATGCCTCCTCCGTGCAAGTAGAACTGCGTGAAATGATTGATTGACCTCTCCCCGCTCCGCTCCCTTGCGTGCGGCCATTTGACCTGATGCAGCCCGCTACTCTCCCCAGGATAATTCCAAGACGGCCCTTCGGCGCCGTCTGCGGGCTCTCTTGGTTGTGGGAACGGCCTTGGGGAAGTCAGAACGGCATCTGGAGATACACGGGCTTCTGGGGACATCTTGGGAGCCTCTGGGCCTTCTTCGGGGAATGTTTGGCCGAGTCCCCCTCTGGGCCCTCTTGGATCACCTTGGGGGCCTCTTGGGCCGTCTTTGGGGGCTCTTCGGCCGTCCTGGGGCAGTCTTGGGCCGTCTTGAGGGCCTGAGCATGTTGAAGACGCGTGGGGGCCTGGTGGTGGCCTGTTGGAGGCCTCTGTGGGGCCTAGTGGGGCCTCTTGGCGGCGTCCTGCGAGCTTCGCGGGGCCTCTTCGGAGCGCCTTGGGGGGCTCTTGGAGGCGTGATGAAGCCTCTTGGGGACTTCTGGGAGCGTCTTTTGGGCCTCTTGGGGATTCTCGCGGGGCTTTCTGAAAACATCTCGGAGCAGTTGTGATGCCTCGGAGGGCCATGAGGAAAGAAAGTGGCGCACGTGCCAAAACCATTTATTTTCCGCACGTGCTTCAAGAATGTGGGCCTCTCGCAAGCATCCTTGGCCCTCTTTGGCCCTCTGGGCCGTCTTGAGGCCATCTTGGGCCGTCTTGAGGCGAATTCAGACCGTCTGGAAGCCGTGTGGGCGCCAACGTGGTCGATTCTGAAGCCTTCCGAATGGGCGTCTAACTTCGCGCTCTCGCGCCACCCCCCAAGAAAGAAGGGGATGATGAGGAGGAATCGAAGCCGAACCGCGAAGCTCGAAGCGCGAAAAAGTTCGCACCCTCGAGGGCGCCCTCGCTTCTCAGGCCGCTCGGGGCCTCCTTGGGGGCATCTTGGGCTCGAGGCACATGTTCTGGGGCCAAGGGCCGCCGCCCGCCACCCCCCGAACACGTGCATCGTTGTTGGCCGGCTTGGACCACAAACAGCGCTTTTTTTTGGCAGCGTATGCGGTGACATCTCTGTGGTGCAGCCTACGTTGCGCAAAGCAGGGCGAAGCAGCGCAAAGCAATGTAGAGCAATGCAGAGCAATGCAGGGCCACGCAAACCACCGGCAAGCCCATGCAAAGCAATGCTAAGCAAGGCAGCGTAATTCAACGCACTGCAACGCAAGCCAAGCACTACGAAGTTATGCAAAGCAGCACACAGTCATTCACCTATATGCCAGCCAATGTAAACCAATGAAACGCCATGCAACGCAATGTACAGCAATGCGGAATACAGGCAAGACGATGCAAAGCAAGCCAATCAATGCAGAGCAGTGCACAGCAATGTAACGCAATGCCACGCAATGCAAAGCGATGCAAAGCAAACACACTGATTGCAAAGCAATGCAAAGCAATGCAAAGCAATGCAGATTAATGCAAAGAAATGCGACACGATGCAATGCGAAACAATGCAACACAATGCGATCGCAATGCACGGCAACGACGGGCGGCCACGATCTGGCCAGACCGTGGCTGGACCGCGACTGGAGCTCAGTCACCAGCGGCAAAGCAACGCAAGACGATGCACAGCACGGCAAACCAATGTAATCAATGCAATGCAATGAAAAGCGGTGAGACGGAGTGCGAAGCAATGCCAAGCACTGCAAACTAATGCAACCAAACGCAACGTAATGCAGTGCAGAGTAACGCGAGGCAAAGCAACGCAAAGCAAGTAAGGCGAAGCAAAACGAAACAATGCAAATTCATGTAAAGCGGTGCAAGGTAACGGAACAAGCACAATGCAAATCCATGGAAGGAAATGTGGATGAACGCTCAGCAGCGCAAAGTAACGCAGGCCCAGACGGAGACGGGGCGGCGACTGCCACTGGACCGACGGCCAGGCCCAGAACGACGGGGCGGCGACGGCGACCACATAGCCGCCAGACCAACGGACAGGCCTAGAAGACGGGCGGCGACGGGCCGGCAACGGGGCGGCGACGGCGGCCACATGCCTGCCTCACCGACGGGCAGGCCCAGTTCCTCAGAAAAGAAATCAGAGACCCCGAGTGCAAAGCACTACTGGGGGAATCTCTCTGCACATATACATAGGAAATAAAACTGCGTACTGCTTTATTGAAAGGCTGACGAGGGCCCGTGTGCTCGCGCCCGGCGACCCTGCTGGCCCGTCGGGGCAGGGTGCCGGGGCGGGAGCCCCCATCCACGTCGCGCCCGATACATGGAGGTGACGACCTCGCCGTGGTCGCCTTTGCCGCCGCCATCGTCACCGTCACCGTCACCGTCGTCGCTATCGTCATCGTCTGTGTCTTCGTCGTAGTCGTCGTCGGCGTCGCGGTCCTCGTCCCAATCTCTTCGTCCTCCCTTCTGCATCCTCTTTTCGGGGAACTCAGAGGTACCGATACTGCTACTTCCTGGACCTCATGGGGTACGTTCTGACCAGAGTTTCGAGGCGAATCCAGCGGTGGCGACGAGGGCCTCCCAGGAGGCCCAAGACGGGGAAAACGGGGGAAGGGTAGCAGTATGGGTACCTTTTCCTCCTCTGATCCTCCTCCTCCCCCTCCAACTCCCTGCCCCCCTCAATGTTGAGATGGAGGGCTCGCTGCCCGCCCTGCGGACGGTCCACGATGCCGCGCCCGCCACTGCCGACGCCCGGCGCGCAGGGAGGAGCCCGGCCATTGAGGCGGCCAGGGGGTCTGAACTGCGTGGACCTCCAGACGAATCGGTCAAGAGGAGTCCTCGATCGTCCTCATCCTCGCCCTTCGCCCTCGTCGGGGTCTTCGTTTTCATCCTTGGTCCTTCGCCCTCGTCTGGGTCCTCGTCTTCGTTCGTTGCTCACGCTCTGCGCCCTCGATTGTGGGGACCCTGACATCTGCAAGCATGGCTTTTGCAATTTGCGGCCCCAGACGTAAGACGAAGACAGGGCGAAGATAACATCGGGTGAAGACAAATCGAGAATCTTTGAGGTCCGGCGGCTCTGGAGGATGCCTCGGGCGCTGCGCTCTTCTCAGAGCGTTCCGGGAACGCTCTAGAACGATTTGATCCGCGTCCTAACCCCTCCCCGATGGATCCCTTTCAAGGTTCATCCGGTGCGGTGCAATTTTTCACCCTGGATCCGTTTTTTGATGGCCCCGGGACACGAGAACGGCCCCGGGAGGCCGCAAAAGGCCCGAACCCTCCCGAGCCCAGCGCCTCGAACTTCTTCTCCCTTCCTGCTTGGCCGGAACCGGTGCTGGGCCACCTCAGGCCCGCAGCCGACCCCATGCCCCGCCCAACATGGGCGTTCCAGGACGGCTGCCGACCGAGAGTTCAAAGAGTTGGTCGCCCCTGCCCCGCGAAACTCGACGAAACTCGGCCGAGGCCCCGCCCACGCCGTGCCCGAGAGGCGCTCACTGCGCTCACACGAAGACCTCACCACCTCGGGCGCGCCCTGGCTGGCCCCTGGCAAGCCATCCCCTCCCGTGACGTCACCCTCGCCTTTCGGGCTCGCATGCAGGCGTCCTGGGGCGAGGCGGGGAGGCAGTCATGGAAGGGGATGGCCTGCTGGGGGTCGATGACTAGGCCGCCCCTGAGCACCGCGCGCCCTGCGAATGATGGTGTGCCTGCCGCTGCCCACGCCCGCCACGCAGAGGAAGTCGCCCGACGCGTGGCCGCTGCGCGGGCGGCCGTCCACGACGAGCTCCGCGCTGGCGCCGCCGAGGCGGGGCAGGCAGGCCGTGGCCTGTCGGAGGAGGGCCCGTCGAGACAACCAGCGGCCCTCACTGCAAGTAAGACGAAGCCAGGGCGAGGAATGAAAAGCCCTTGGTTTTTGCTCACACGAGGCATGTATGACCTACCCTCGTTTCTTCATTCATACATATATCTATACTCGTGCTTGTTAATGTCCTCGCGAATCTCTGAAATCTGGCGGCTCTGGATTATGTCTCGGGCGCCCCAGCCTTCCCAAAGCGTCTTCGAACCGCACTGAGAGCGTTCCGGAACGCTCTGGAACGGATTGATCCTGCCCCCGCCCCGTCCGACCCTGGCAGGCCTGTGCTGGATACCGGATCGCAGAATCGGATCGGATCGGAAACGGATCGGATCGCCAGCGAGTCGATCCGAATCGGGTCGAACTCGGATCGCCGGGCCCAGACTCTGGCTGGACCCGGCCGATGCCGATGGGAGCCGAATCGCATCGAATCGGAATCGCGGCCCCTGCCGGCGAATCGAATCGGATTGTAGGTGGTCCGCTTAGCGTTTCTCGTTCCCTTTGGGCCTCCTGGAGGCTTCTCGTCGCCACGGCTGGATCCGCCTCGAACAATCTGGGATCTATAGAACTGACCTGGATCATTCCAGACCCCCGTCAGTCATGCTGTGCAAGTTCCTGCGAGATCGTGCAGGATCCTGCTCCGAAACCATGGTCAATGCAACCCTGGCTCTGCAAGATCCTGCAAGATCCAGCGCTCTGACTGACCCCCGTTTGCATTGACCCCCGTCCCTTGAGCCCCGAAACAGGACTCCAGTGGACCGAGCTTCAGCGGAGCTAGGCTGTGGCCGGAGAGCCGCCCTCGCCTCAACCCTCCTCCTCCTCCTCCTCCTCCTCCTCCTGATCCGAGCCTGGGTGTTCCCGGGCGCCACGAGCGTCAGCTCGAACTCCGAGGCGGACTGCTCCACCCGCACCTCGATGAAGCCGGACAGCACAGGCAGCTTCAGCTCGGCCCAAGCGAGCGCGCCCGGCTGCGGCCGGACCTCGAAGTGCCCGCACCAGTGGCCCAGCGGGGTCGGCACCCGCACCGACGCCGACGCTGTTGCCGAGGACGACGACGACGTGGGTCTTACGCGAGATGGCATGGCGACCTGATGCCGCAGCTCACGCGGGCCGCCAGCGCGGCACGCCACTGGAGATGAGGGCGCTCACGCGCGGCCTTACGTGGGCCTCGTGCGCGCGAACGTCGGTGAAGACGACCCCATTTTGGGGGGCGTGACGGCCGATGGGTAGCTAGAGGCCTCCCACATGGGGTCGGAGGAGATGGGGCCGGAGGATCGCGCCACATCAGCGATGCATCGGCGATGTACCGGCGACATCGGTGATGCATCGGCGCCGTCGGCCTTGAGAGAATCGGGCTCCACGTCGAGCCGCATCTATACTCGGACTCCATCTGGGAGGCCTGGAGTAACATGCCATTCCCCACTGGCTCACATCGACGGGCAGCGGGCGGACCACGTGTGGCGCCCGCCCCGAGGGTGGTGTCTTCGGGCCCCTCTCACGTGCCCTGCCCACCGGCCACCGCCAAACCCCAAATCGACGTGGCCGCCCGAAAGAGGCACGAAACAAAAGTGCGATACCCAACAGCGAATGTTGTTCAGAACCCACAGAGGCCGCTGTTGTCGAGGCGACATTGAGCCTCAAATGGACCACGCCCGCGACGACACCGACAGCGAACCCGGTTCAAAATGGACAGGAAACGCTGTTGGCCTTCGCACTCACTCTTTCCGTACCCAAAGATCCGATGTTGTGATTGTTTTCAATACGGGGTCCAGGACCGGTTTTTCATCCTGAGTCGTGTTCTGACGGTCCCGGGGCCGGCCCAGCGAGGGCCGCTAGAGGCCGAAAACGGCGAAAAACCTCCGTCTTGATTTTTCCAATACGCTGGTCGAGGGCGCTTCTGCGCCCTGCGGAAGCGAGCCCCCCAGCGCTGACCGCGGGTGCCACCCGCAAGGCCTCCGACTGTAGCCGGGCGCCAAGGCCCGGACGCCCATGAGCCCCTGCGCGATGGCGGTGGCGGGGGCTGACGCCCACGGGTGCGACCAGGACAGGTTGGGCTTCTCCTGAGGGGCACAGGTGTAGTCAAAATCGATAGTAGGGACGCAAGTTGAGGATGCAAGGCCCTTGCTTGGACCGTCTAAAATGGACGCCCTTGGGCGTCGAAACTGGCCGAATAATGGCCGAGGACACAACGGCGCAAAAGTACCCTTGGTGAAATATTGCGTCCTTACTAACTATTGGCTTGGAAACCGGCGATATGCCCCCAATAGTGAAGAGCGAACCGAAAAAATCCTGGGCGGGGTAGGCTATCGGGCCCCTATCGGCGATCAATGGGCGATTGGGAGTCGATGCGCTTCCCCTGAGCTTACCCCCCCTGACGTTGCCCCCGATCTCCTCCCGGGTCCATGCCTCCATCACGGCGGTGGCCCCCGCGCTGAGCATACCGCACCAGGAGTTGCCGTCGCAGGTCGTCAGCAAGTCCAGCGCGAGCGCGCCGTGGTCGTCGCTAAAGCGGCGGTAGAGGCCGAGGAGGAAGGCAAACGCACCGTAGACGGACCCCGCCATGCGCTTGGATTTCAGGAAAGCCAGCAAGCGCTCGTTTTGCTCTGCCAGGCCTGCACCGAAGAAAAGCGGGAATACCTGGGCATGCCATGCTGAATGATGGTCCGCGCCGCTGCCCTGGCCGTCCACAAACAAGCCGGTGGAATTGTCGAAGAGCTTGTCTGCCATCGCATCACTGAGAGCACTGGCGCGGTGCTGCAAAGTGACCGCCTCGTCCAGCTTGCCCGTCGCGTTCGCGAGTACAGCCAGAGCACGTAGAGCACCAACAGCGAAAGCATTAATCACAGTGTTGACTTCAGTCATCTGATAGCCATCTCGCTTGACTTGAGGCCAGTCAACAATGTCGCGCACTCCACTCGGCCTGGAACAGTGAGAGAAATCAAGAAGACCGCTTGATGTGTTGATGCACTGGGCCTGGGAAGAAGACTTCAAGAACTCCCAATGATCCTGGGCGATGACAACCTCACCGGTCTTCATGAAATCGTCATGGGCCAACAACGGGATCGTCTGTCGCCACTCCGTTGGCCATGTAGGATTCATCAAGTTGTGCTGCGTTGAGTGACGCTGCCAAGCGAACTCGCGCTGAAACACATAACGAGATGACCCGGTGATGTAGCCATCAGCCTCGTACGGCAAACGCTCTCTGGTATTTGAGTCAGTGGTCGTGTCCAAAGAAGTGACCTTTAGAGTGTTCCGGCACAATTTCCAAACTTTATTCAGCATGTCGTCCGAACTATTGAACGCACTGTCCGAGTCAACCCATGGATAGTTCACAACCCAAGCTGTGAGCTTGAAAGGCGGATCGCCGGCCACAGCCATCCCAGCAGCACCAGAGCACTCGACAACGCCTGCAAAACCTTTGGGAGTCTTGTGGCATGGGTCGTGTCCGAATACCGCGCTGCTTGCTTCAAAGCTGCAGGACCCCTTGCCCAAACAGAGAGATTCAACCACCGACCGACTGGAATTCGCATGGCAGGTCGAATTCATTGCAATGGTATTGGCCCCATTCTTGTCTTGACACTGGCCAGTCGGTGTGCCATAGGAAGCGAAGGTTACCTTGTCGATCGTCTGGCCATCAGGGCAACGAAAAGACGCTACTTGACCTTCATCTTGCAAATGTGGAATGCAATCGCAAGCGCTGGTCGACTGGGAAAGTGAAGTCTTCACTCTAAGCTCGCCGTAGCGGAAGAGCCAATATTCGTGCTGTTCGAACGAGGAAGTTCCTGGGCCCCCTTCCCAATTCATCTCAAATTGGTTTCCTGTTCGCATTGGGAACTTGATAGATGTGTTCGACACGAGCTCCTCGCTGGCTCGAATATTCAGAGACGCGGTGCCCCCCGTCCACTCAAGCTCAATACCACCCATCAGCTCTGTGCCAAAATCAAAAAACCAATGCCCTGGGCCAACCTGAATGATGCTGGCTGGCTTGAACCCTGTGGTTACCCGGACAGGCTGTGCAATTTTAGCACTCAGCGCTGGGGAGTAGGCGTCTCGCTCCTTTGCGCGCTCCCACGCCGCAGTCGGAACAAACCCAGCCAACCTCCAGCAGGTCATGCAACCATCACCAGACGGGCTGCGACGGGCGTCAATGTTTTCCTGTGGCCCCTGATTGTTGAGAGGGTAAGACGACGAAACTATCGGGTTGAAGAGCGGGTCCGCGTTAAGAGCTAGCCACGTCGAATCCGTGCCAACTACCTGCTCCGATCCATCTTCGTATTTGATGTGCATCTCGACCAATGCCTTGGCAGAGCTGTCGCCCTTGTCGTTGAAGCACTGCAGCGCCAGCGTCACCTGGCCCTTTTTCGATTCTTGCACGAGCTCTGTTACGTCCAGTGTATCGAAATCTGGATGCCCAGGTTCTGAGTAGCTGCGGGTGCCACGACCAGGGCCCGTGCCAACGACAACGCCGTCGACATAGAGCCGGTAGGCGCCCAAGAACTTCTCTGCTCCGTTGCCGACTGGAATCGACGCAACGAATGCGTGTGCAGCGACCACCCGCTTCGGCTGAAGCGCGACGTCCCTGCGAAGGAAGACGAACCTGGCGCCGTCCAGCCACACGGGCTTCGCAGCGCCGAAGTCCCGTCCGAAGTTGCCGGTGATGAAGGAAGACCAAACAACGACATTAGCACAAACTCTCGGAGATCCGCACGGATGTCCTGGTTTGGCTTTCGACCCCCATCACCACTCCCCTGCCCGACGCGCAGAGCACGCCAGTGGTTCGGGGAGGCAGTCTGGCGCCCCCAGATAGGGTCAGACGAAAATGGGGAGACCTCGGCCGCGACGATAGGGGCGAATAGCCAAGGGGCGGGCTTTGCACGCATTCGCTCAAGAGCCTCGCCGAAGATATGGACCATCGGCGCCCCTGGACGCGTGTGTTGTGAGACGAGGCCAGGACGGGGATAAATTCGGGTGAAGATACATTGAGAATGTCTGAGACCCGGCGGCTCTGGAAAATGTATCGGGCACCGCGGCCTTTTCAAAGCATTGCCCGAACGCTCTGGAACGGATTTATCCTCGTCCTAGCCCCGCCCGAGTTCGTCCGACCCCGCTCGCCCAATCCTCCCCCTACCTCGTCTGGCCTGGTAAGACGTCCGCGCGGACCTCCCACAGTCTGTTTGCAGGACACAAGGACAGGCGACACAGCCACCACCAGCTCGAAGCGCCAGGGAGGACCCTCTTGGTGGTCTGGTTCCCTCTCGCTCGAGACACCCCCGATCCCCAGCTCGGAGGAGCATCGTGCACCCCCTCGCTGGAGGTGCCCCCCCAGACATGCGATGCCACGATGTTTCCAATACTCGGCGGCGTGCGATGGGGGAACATCAGAAGAACCGGGCCTTCTCAGAAGGCTCGAAGTCCCCTGGACTTCTGACAGGTGGTCTAAGCCTCCCCCGATGACGCAGAAAACTTCTCAGAAGTCCCCCCGCTCTTACTTCGCCTCCAGGTTTCGTTCGTCTCCCGGTCTCGCTCGCCTCCCAATTTCGCTCGACTCCGATTGTCGCTTCGCCCGTCACTTTCGCTTCGCCTCCCGCTTTCGCTTCGCCTCGCACATTCTTTCGCGTCGCCTCCCACTTTCGCTTCGTCTCCCACTTTCGCGTCGCCTCCCACTTTCGCGTCGCCTCCCACTTAAGCTTCGCTACGCCCCTGAACAGCTTAGCCTCGTCTGGGCTGAGGTCGGGCGTGTCATCCCTGCCTGTTCTGCGCGCCTCCACCCCTGGGGTGGCGCGCGGGTTGACCTCCTCAATGCCCAGCGCCTCCAGCGCCCTCGTGAGGTACTTCCCGTTTGGCTGGATGTAGGTGGCATCAGCCTCCCGCGCACGCCGCCTCCTGAGAAACTCGTAGTCGGCACTGTCGCCTTGCAGGCCTGACCACTTCACCTCGATGTCACGGCCTAGGTCCAGCACGAAGCCGGACCCTGCAACTCCAGGCGCGGTGCCGTGCATACCGTCCATGTGAAGCTCCACCAGACATGGGAGTTCGGCGTGCCAGAAGAATTGGGGAGCGGTCGGCGACCGCTCGAACCCCGTGGCCATGAGCTGCTCCGCGGCGAACTCGACCCAGTGTTTCCCACCAGCACGCCGTCCTGGCAACTGCTTCGCAAGCTGCCACGCGTAGTCCTCGGTGTCGCCCTTCGCGTGGTAGTCTTCTAGGACCTCGGGTGGGCACTCGGCCCGCGCGCCCTCCTCCCCGGGGGCGTGGTAGCACGCGTCCTCCGCGTCAACAGTGAAGGTGGGCCTTCCGTGCTTCAGGGCCACGTAGTCCACCACTCGGCTGTCGGCCATGCTGCTCCCTGGCGCGAAGAGGTCGTCGCGGTACTCCTGCCACTTGAACTCTCGCGCGACGTACCTTGACTTAGCGATCCTGCACCCGAGGTTCGCGTCCCACTTGTAGACGTGGCCCCAGTGGGCGCTGATCCTCTTGCCGACGGCCTCGCTTCGCTTGACAAGCTTGCCCACCCCGTGCTGCCTCAAGCCGTCGAGGGCCCGTCGGGTGGGGGCCTCGATCAACTGCGAATCCGACGCATCATGGGGATCTGGGACATCCATGTCCCTGGGGATCTGCAGGAAGTCAGGCCGAACGTCGTCGCGGTGCTCAGCTGCTACTCCGCTAACTCGGGACCTCGCACGGGCGCCGCGGTTGTCACCCCCCTCCGCAGGTCGCTGCGGCGATCGGCCCATCGGGGGTGACTGCGGAGCCACACTCGCGGGTGCTGCAGCCCGCGGCGTCACGGGGGCGTCGCCCCCAGCGCCTCCAGCAGCCGACGTCTGTGTCGCAGGCCCCGCCTTCCCGTCCCCAACAGGCGCCTCGTCGCCGCCTGCCGCGTTGGCCGAGGGCGCCGCCATGGGCGTGCCCGTCTGGGCTGCTGGCCAGCCGCCATGGGCGGCCGCGCTGGACTGGGCCGCGGCGTTCAGGTCTGGCTGTGCCTCAGCTGCCTCATGCGCCACCGATCAGGGGGCGTAACGTTCGGCTCGATCCCGCACGGAACCGCGCCCTGCCCTCGGGGCTGCCATGGCATGTGCGCGATCGCCGCCACGGCGGTGCGATTGAACCTCCGCTCTCCGGGCAGCCTCTTGACGGTCCTCGTCGTGACTAACTCACCCGTCTCGAGGGCGCAGATGTGCTCGTCGGTGTCGTAGCTCTTCCCTCGCCAGACCGCCCTCGCGAAGCCCATGCCGCCCTTGTGGTGCACCTTGCCTCTCGCCCTGCGATTCTTGCCCCTAGCTAGGCGCGCCAGGGCGGACTCCCCTGGCGTGGCCATCTCACTGGTGTAGGCGTGGCCGTAGAGGTCCTCATGTGCGGTGCGACCGCTCGCCTTGATCTTCAGGTTGGTGCATGCCCAGCCCGCGCGGCGCTGTAACCACTTGTACATGGCCGTGCCTGGGCGGACCCTGGCCCCCAGTCGTGCCTCCAGCGCGCTCCTGCTCGTGCGGAACTGCGCCTGAATGATGCCGTCGGCGTTCTCGGAGGGGTTTGACTGGGAGCTGAACGCGGGGCAGGTCTCACGACCACACGGTTAGGCAACTCTGCCTCGACGTTGTTGGCCAGGTCCATCATGGCGCCCTCGCGGTCTGGCCTTAGGATAACCTTCTGATCGAAAAGGCTCTTGCTGAACGCCACCGTGGCTGCCGCCGCGCAGGGATCAGCGCGTCGGTCGGGCTTCGGTGCGCTCCTCGTGGCACCCGTGTCGGCATCCGCGACCCCCAGTGCCACCTCCTCGCCCTGTCTCTGGCCATCCTCGGCGCGAGGGCCCGCCTCCGTGCCGTCGGCCGCCTCGCCCTTGAAGAACGCCAAGTCAAGTCTGATCGCGGGGGGCGCTCCACCTCCGCGTCAAGCAGCTCGCGGGGCCTGTCGCGTCCCCGTCCCATCTGGCAATGCTCGCACCAGCGCCGCGGTGGGCAGTGCTGGTTCCCCTCATGGCGCTGCCTCTCCTCTGGCGTCGGCTCGCGGACGTCGGGGAACGTGGTCGGCTCCAGCGCTTGCCCCGTCTCCGCCTGGCGCCTCATCTCCTCGCGCCTCAGCTCGCGATAGTCATCCGTCGCCGCCTCCACCTTGCGCATGCCCTCGCACTCGACGAGCGGCGCCCAGCGCTGAGCCTTGGTCCCGTAGTACGGGGCGTAGATCTCCTTGAGGCGCTTCTGCATGGCGTCGATCCTCGAGCTCGGGCCGAGCCCCTCGAGGTATGACCGCCCCGGCGGCTGTGCCGCCGCAGGTGCCTCCTGACCCTTCGCAGGCGCCGCCTGCAGTGGGGCCGCGGGCTCCCGCGCCCGTGGTGGCGCCGCCGCCTCCCGCGCCCGTGGTGGCGCAGCTCCTGCATCTGGTGGTGCTGGGCCACGTGGCCCTCGAGCATCTGGGTGGGGCGGAGGATCCCCTCCCCGCGCTGTCCCCCGCGGAGCTCCAGCGGCACCTGCAGCGGCGACCCTGGCGGGGCAGGCTGCGCGCTAGGCTTCGCCCGTCGCGTCGTGGATCTGCGCAGCGAAGTAGAAGGCGTCGGGATCCTGCGGGGCCCCTCGGTACCAAGCCTCTGGTCGCTCACCGTGGTGAGCTTGGGCGCCGCGGGGTCCCCCTGAACTGTCGGGCGCTGTGCTCCGAACGCTTGGCCGCAGAGGTGCTCGTCGCTGCCGCTGTCTGCGAGGATGGGCCCTCTGCGCTCCTCCCTGCGGCGGCCTCCGACCGAGCTCCGGGCCCCGGAGACCCGGCCGACCTCGTCGCCGTCAGAGCCCGCGGCCGCCGCGCTCGCGGTCCGCCGGCCCTCAGCGCCCGCAGAGGCCTGCTGGGCTGCGGCCGCCCTCGGGGGCGCTGACGTCGGCGCCTGAGGCTTGCCAGCTGCCTTGTGCCGGCAGTCCTTCTCCTTGTGCCCCTGCTTCTGGCACCGGTTGCCTGTTCCCTTGAACTTGGCGGGGGTGCTGCCCTGGAGCTCGTCGTTCTTGACTCCCTTCTTGCTGCCCTTGCCGCCCTTGTTGCCCGCGCCGCCCGTCTTATCGCCCCTGCCGCCGCCCGACTTGTCGCCTTTGCGCTTTGGCTAAGGCTGTTGCGGCAGGGCATGGACCGAGATCGCACCGATCTCCATCGGCGCCACGCCTTGGCCCGCCGTGCCGCTAGCTGCGAAGACCTGTCCAGACGCCATCCACACTCTCAGGTGGGTCCTCAGCGCCGCGTGCGAGACCCTGGCGGCCGTCGGAGCGTTGCGCAGCGCGGTCTTGCACGGCTCGGGGCGATGGACGAGCAGCGAGGCGATGCGAAACTCATCGCCGAAGTCCTTCCCCGCCTGCGTGACGTACCCCTCGCCACGTTGTTGTCCCAGTCAACGAGCTGGCAAACGGCTTCTGGTCGCCCCGCCTGGGTTTGAGCAGGCCGCTGAGCAAAGCTGCGAACCTGTTGCCCACCCCAGGCTCGTACTCATTCTTGATCGCTCGCCAGGCAATGAAACCCTCGTGCCTGCCTGCGAAAGTGACCATCGCCAGCGCCTTGCGCTGGGTCTTGGTGATCAGCATGGCATGCAGCATCTGCTCGTCGCTGCCGCGCGCTCGCCCATGCTGACGTTGTCCACCGCGAGCGCTGGCCGGGTCTCAACATTGTCGATGAGGTCATCCCAGCCCATCAGCGCGACGAACGCATGTGCTTTGATGGACCAGCTGGGCCAGTCCTCAGCTCTGCCGCTGAACTCTGGCAGTTTGATG